ACTATTTACAGGCTGTCACACAATGGTCAAACGCTGTGTGATATGTGGAAACGTTGATGCTATTGTTGGAGTTTCAGTACACAAGTAATTACAATTTCACTACTTGGCCATAATCATGACAAAATATATAGGTATGTCAGCAACAGTACGAATTTTAATCTTGTCGGCGCATCCCCACTTTTTCCTGTGTATTAGGTTCTCCGCTTTTCATTGGTCCTTATTATAAAGAACTTGGTTACCGCGTAAATATGAATTTACTTTGTATGAACTAGTTATAGTAGTTATGCCATAATTGATTAAAATACTTTTTATTTTAATTTAATCAATGGTTATGCTTATTATCTATACAATCACTAATGAGTAATGACTAATCAGAACTAATCGATTGATTATATTATTACATTAATCCTGTTTCTCATGTAACTTATGGCTTATCCTTCTCGTGATTTTTTACTGTGACACAATCATTTTATGTACATTATAATATTATATTACATATTTTATTACAATGCCGATGTGTGAGTTTTTTGGGTGTTTGAGTGGCAGCAGAAAAAAAGGTTTACCAAAATATCCAAACATTTATTTGCACAGGTTTCCGAAAGATCCAGAATTAAGAATTGTATGGCAAAATAAAATCTTACAAGGTCATCAGAATCTTAGGCAAATTAATTTTAATTCAGGTAAATTTAAGTTATTATGTATTAGTTAAACATGAGAATTGGATTTTGTTATGATTACATTGATTCCCAAAAACTTAAAATCTACGATTTTTGTATGGCATCAGTAAATAAACATTCTGTGTAGGATACCTCCATATTATATTCTTTCAGATTTAGTATTGCAATTAAATTAATTTTATCATTAGAAATTCAATTTTAATAAAATGACAACAAATATAATTAAGTATGATGCATATGTTTTAAAAATAATTTATATTTTAGCTGTAGTTTGCTCATTACATTTTGCTCCATACCATTATAATAATAATGCTACGAATGCTTACAATTTAAGATCAGATGCAGTGCCACTAAAGTAAATATTATATGTTTTTACTTAATATATTATAGAGAAATAAACTGTTAGTTATTTTATTTTAATTTTTGAAGTTCTTCTGATTTTGATGATAACGTTGAAAGTAGTACAAATGAATGTGATTTGGATACAGAACATGGAATAGATGAAATAGTTTTGAAGTAATTTTTTGATTTAATATAATATAATCAATAATACCAATATTGAAATTCTTTTAATTGTATTAAACCTACCTATTAACTTGTCTTTTGTCTTATTTAGTCCAATTGTGTGTTTACCACCAGAGAGATTGACTACTCCAGTTCTACCACCATTAAAGACTACAGCTGGAACATTTTCTGTGTAATGATTTTTTTTTAGTATAGATTTAATTGTTTTATTACAGGTAGCATATTCTTAAGATTGGGAGCTCCATTCTTCCAAAATAATATTTCCAATTGATTTTTTTTTTTATATATATACATATAGGGAATGTCTACCTGATTCAATCGACACAGCTGTTGTTAGAAATCCTAAGAGATGCAGTGTTAAATTATTTGGTATTGACGATAGTTGTGATCTGGGAGTAAAGCCACTTATCGATAATGATAATGCTGAACTTGAAAAAAATGAACTAATTCTTAGGTACCTATTTAATGTATTGATTTTGTTAATTTTAGTTGATTCTTCTGAAGCCTTTTGTGAACATAACAATTCATCTCTACTATGCTCAATTAAAAAAACTTGTTCATTATTTACGTAGGGTTATTAAAATAAAACCTACTAGATAGCATGAACATGTTTTAGATTTTGAGACACTACAATATTATATGAAGCACTATATTATTTTTTTACACTTTCATATTTAAATTTTTTTTAAATTTAGTTTTTAACTTAAATCAAACATTTTTTATACCCACTATTTTTTTTTAAATTGTTTATAATTTCTAAGATTTAAAAGTTAATAGTGATGTTTTGGTTTTATTTTTATAATTTGTTATTTACCCAACAGTTACAAAAATAAAAATATGCTTTTCGTGTTTGTATGCTTTAGTTTGTTTTTTTTTATTTATTATTAGGTACTAGTTATGTTTGTGTTAGTAATACTTAGTATATGTATAATATACATTGTATATAACTATATTTTTTAATAATATAATGAAATAAACTATATGTGCTTTATTTATTTATTTATGTAGAAAAAACTCTATTTACAAAAAATTGTGTCTAAATAAGTATAAGAATTTAAAACATTATAACAAAAACAAACTTACAAAAAAAACATAACAATCTTTCAAATATTTTATTGATTTATACATATTATCCATGAACAGACTTAAAATTAATACAACAAAATATTTAATAGAATACTAAGAATGTTTTGTATTAGTGGTTTAGTACTAATTAAATTATATGTATGACACTAAATAAACTAAAATAATGCTTTGTATGTTACTTGCACTGTGTTTACATAATTTTTCAATGCCTACTCAGTTCTTAGTTAAGACATTTGAACAAATTCAATATTGTTTAATTTAGATTGAAAAATGAGATAGAGAATTGTAAAAAAGAAAATTACGATTTGAAACAATACATTTCTTCAGAAAATTATCGTTTTGAAAATCGTTTTTTTGAAATTCTCTCAAAACATTTTACACCTACTCAGGTTAATTTGTTTCTTCATCCTACAAAAAAGGTGTACCGTTGGACGCCTGAAGATATTTCGAGTGCCATTACATTAAGGAGTATTTCTCCAAAGGCATACCGATATTTAAGGACCAAAAAAAATTTTCCACTACCAGGTTAATAAAATTGGTTTAGTTTGAGTTTCCTTTGAGTTTTTAAAATTGTATCAAATATTTAAATAATATTTTTAAGGTCTGTCTACCCTCAGAACATGGGCTGCAAGATTTTGTATTGAAGATGGAATACTTTTTAGTGTTCTATCCCTAATGAAAGCTAAAGGTAATAATATACTCATATACGAATTGTAGAATGATAATTATTCATTTGTTCTTAACTAATTAAAATTCTTAAGGTGTTAATTTCAGAATACTTATTATTTAAATTATCTGAACTGAATTAATTATTACATTTTTAAGGAGATTTCATGAATGAAACTGAAAAATTATCAGTTATATGTTTCGATGAAACATATGTATCAAACAGAATATGTTTCGATAAGAAAAATGAACGTGTTATTGGACCACATAAATGTATTCAAACCGTTATTGTTCGAGGTATATATTGCATTTCAATATTTTATCATAAATACAAATAAAATGATTATATATTTCTATTATTAAAATACTATACATTTTATTTCTGTAATAGGGTTAGTTAATAATTGGAAACAACCAATATATTACGGTTATGACAAAAAAATGTCAAAAGAGTTACTATTCCAAATTATAGAGCAGTTGCATAACGTTGGCTTTAATGTAATTTCTATAGTTAGTGACATGGGTTCAACTAACATGAGGCTATGGAATAGTTTAAATATATCTGTAGATAATACCTCATTTGAACATCCCATATCAAAAAATCAAGTTTACGTCTTTGCAGATGTTCCCCATTTGCTGAAGTTAGCCAGGAATCATTTACTTGATAAGTATGAAGTTAATTTTTAAATCATTAAATGTAATTATAAAATATCTAAACACTAATATTTTATTCAGAGGTTTTATTCTTCCTAATGGTAAATATATTGGGAAAAATATATTTGAAGAATTAATTAACCTTAACTCAGGACATGACTATAAATTAGCTCATAAAGTTACTAGCCGTCATTTGTTGGTTGAGGGAACAGGACGGATGAATGTGAAACTGGCTGCTCAGTTGCTTTCCAACACTGTAGCTAAAGCAATCACATTTTGTGGAGAAAAGGGAGATTTAAATACATATAACTGGAGAGATGTAAGTATAATAATTTTTTAATTGGGAAACAATGTTTTCTCAGTGGGTGAATGGAGATAATATAATGTAATGTACGTCTCTAATGGATACGGAACGTTAATATACCTTAAGCTCATACATATAACCGAATAATTATTATCAAGTTATATAGTTAATGCTATATTACTTTGCTGACCAATTAAGTGTTTATTATTTGAAATAGGCTGCAGATATCATTTCATTATTCAATGAATGGTTTGATTTATTAAATACGCAAAATAAGTACGATAAAGGTGTAGAGAGTTATGGGCTTAATGAACAAACTCAAAATGAGCTAATTGAGAAAATGAACAATTTCATTAAACATATGAGAGTTCATGGCAAGAAATCACTTCTTCCTTTTCAAAAGGGTAATATTTTTTACTATTTATTTCTAATAATTCATAACTAATAATGTATTTTTATTTGTTAACCCTACTATTCTCTAACATACATAAAGGAATTTTAGTCAGCAACATATCCCTAAAAAATTTGATGAAAGACCTGAAAAATGTATATGGACTTCAATATGTCTTAACAAGAAAGCTGAACCAGGACATTTTAGAAAACTTGTTTAGCTTTTTAAAGGGAATGGCTGGGAGTGCCAGTAACAATATAACTGTTTTAGATTTTAAATACTGGTAACTACTTACATTATGTAACAAAATTATGTAAAAATTTAGGTATAATTATGATATCTATGAAACTCTTGACAATACTCTATGATAACTATTATTATTGTGTATATTGTAGCTTGCGTTGGTATATATTGGGTAAATACTCAGATTTGGTATTCACCGAAAACAACAATACAGAAGGTAGTCTTGAAACCAGTCTGTTAACTTTAGATGACCACGAGTGTTTAACTTCTCAACTGTTGACTGATCTACAACAGCCTTCAGAATTTGAAAACACAGCAGAAGTAGAAGGGCATTTAGGTTCAATGAAAACAGTTGTATCAAAATCAAATTTTGATCTCCTTAAACAATTTGAGGCATACATTAAAAATTGATAGTTTTAAAATTCAATTATAAAATTTAACTCTTACTTTTCAGATGGAAACTGAAGAACCATTCAGTGAACTGGAGAAAGAATGTGCTCAATATGTAGCCGGATATGTGGCTAATCGTTTTTCAAGTAAATATCCACATTTGATTAGCCATACTGATAATAGCCAGCAATCAAACAGTTGGACACAATGTATTTCAAAAGGAAATCTAAAAACGCCTTCATATAGCCTCGAAAAAGCAATTGAACAATTAGAGGTAGATTTCAATGCGTTTCACGGAGACAGCCTTTTGAAAACACCTAATATAATAAAAAATTTAACCCATTAACGGCCATAGTTGCGTATACGCAACATTTTTTTAAATAATTTTTTTAGGTTAGATTTATAAATTTTTTTTATTCGCCGTGACACTATTCGATTAAGAAGACAATGAATAATGAAAAACAATCAGGCGTTATTAGTTTTTATCGAAATCATGTTTATTATACGTATCAGAAGCAAGACAGTTTTTATGTCCAAAATACTTAAAACTTATAAAATTAATTAAAATTTGAATTTTAAATATTTGGTATATTAACCGTAAAAATCATTATGTTATGATGCTGTATGATGTGTCCCTATGAGCTGAATTGTCATTCATTTATCATTTAGGTTTCCAATTACCCTCCAAAGTTAATGTTGCGTGTACGCAACGTTGGCGGTTTATATTATAGAATTTTGAAGTTATCGAACACCGTTGTTTGATATTACTATGTGCCGTAGAAAATAGCTCACACGTTGGTTTTTCCTGTAATAATAATTTTTCGATGCTTTTACGTTGTTTTTATCTTATCAATAATGTACGGATAGTGTGTATTAAAACATTTATAGCTATAATAATAGGTATCCGTATCCCTACATACTTGAACAATATTATATTTAGTTGTTATAAATCAGTCACCGGCCAAAATTCACCAAAGTGCTCGTCGTATGTCGTAGCTTGTGGTTGTTGTAGTTATTTCAACTAATATTTAGTAAGTTTGCATTATATTATATTATTACTAATTATATATAACTAGCTAGTATAGTACCTACTACCTACATTTTATTGAATTATTGTGAAAACATACACTTCAACATCTGTATAAGAGATTACGTAATAACGTAATTGTAATATATTTTATCCACTGTCTTATTTTATTCGGTGTAAAGAAATTTTTTTTTAAATTTAAATTGTAGAAATGAGCCTTAAATCGTCAAAACACATCGCTGAAGTATTAGATGAACTTGAAGGTATTTCAGATAACGAATCAATTGATATTATTATAATTCCTCCCGATGTAGATAGTTTGACTGACGAAGAACATTTCGATGATAATGAGATGGCTATAAACGATGTTGTAGACGTTCCACTTGATGTGTGTGGAACATTTGAAATTTTAAAAAGTTCCGGTGTAGATAATCTTTCAAAACCAAATCCTTCCAAAAAACGTAAGGAAACACCCCCAAAATGGAAATCAAAAATGCACCCCAACTATACTGATGGACCAATTAACGAAGAACAAAAATGTGTTGCACAATTAGTTGAAAATTATGGTGGGACGAACGTGTTGCAATGTTTTTTATTATTTTTCGATGATACTGTGATTAATCTCATAATAGACAATTCAAATAAATATGCTACCTACTGTAACAGGCATAACTTTTCTTAGGAAAGACAGATTTATTAAAATTTATCGGTATTATGATCTTAACTGGTTACCATAGTTTACCAAAAATCGAAAACTATTGGTCTAAAGACGAAGACAAAGAAGTAATTTTAGTAAGGAAAACAATGTCAAGGAACAAATTTAAAAATATAAAACAAAATTTACATTTATCTGACAATAAAAACCTTGATTTGACCGATAAATTTGCTAAGGTACGACCTTTTTTCAATATATTGAATGAAAAGTTTTCTCAGTTCGGAATATTTTCTCATAATCTGTCGATTGATGAAGAAATGGTGCCATATTTCGGTCGGCATTCTTGTAAAATGTTCATTAAAGGGAAACCTGTTAGATTTGGTTTCAAGTTGTGGTGCTTGACATCTGAGAATGGCTATTTGTACAAATTTTTACCTTATGGTGGTGCTAGTACAAAAAGAGTGGACGGTTTACCTCTTGGTTCGGAGGTTGTTTTAGGTTTATTGGAAATAGTAGATCAACCACAGCTTCATAGAATATTCTTCGATAACTTCTTTACAAGTTATAAATTACTGTTGATGTTGAAAGAAAAACATTTTTTTGCAACTGGGACAGTTCGGGATAATCGAACAGGAAATTGCAATTTGAAATCAATGAAACTAATGGCTAAAGAACCCAAAGGCACTTTTGATTTCACTTTCGACAGTGAGAATGGAATAGGTGCAGTTCGTTGGTGTGACAATGCTGTTGTTACAATGATGTCTAACGTAGACACCATAGAACCCATACATGCTGCTAAACGTTATGATAGGAAACTGAAAAAACCGATAAGTGTACAACAGCCAAGTATGATTTATAATTATAATAAAAATATGGGTGGCGTAGACCTCCATGATAATGGCATTGCAAACTATCGTATAAAAATACGGGGCAAAAAATGGTGGTGGCCATTATTTAGCAATGCAGTGGATAGCACGACAGTCAATGCATGGAAGTTTTACAACTTGGTAAATAAAAAAAAAGTGCCACAGCTTGACTTCAGATCAGAGTTAGTACTATGTCTATTAAAAGTTGAAACAAGCCTCAAAGACAATGATGAAGACGAGTCTCAACATTCTACAACTAGCAACGTCAGTTTCGGTCGACCTTCAAAAAACAGTCTTCCAGATGCCATTAGAAAAGACGGAATGGACCACATTATTATCAAAGATGATGTTAGAAGAAGATGTCGCCATTGCTCTTCTCAAACAATTTATTCTTGCAGAAAATGTTTAGTGTCTCTTCATCCACACTGCTTTGCTATATTTCATGATAAATAAATCAACTTATTATATTTTTATTACTTTTTACTATTTTTCAAGTGTACTTAAAAATTATATATTCCATCAATTCATGACTTAATAATTATTCCAACGTGAAAAAAATTCATAAATAATAACAAATTAATACATTTGTGTTAATACTATTCGTATACTATATATTTAAATAAGAATAAAAAAATGTATAAATATGAAAAATATTTTATTTATTTACGATTTTATTCACTGTTAACGACCAACGTTGCGTATGCGCAACTTTATTTTCCAGGAAAGTGGCCAACAAAAATTTTTTTTGAAAAATAATTTTGTCACTAGTTCACCATAAATATTCCGAATTAGTCAAAAAAGTTAGGTTTTTTCAACTATTTATATTATTGGCCGTTAATGGGTTAAGTAATATATTTGAAAAAAATATTAAACATTTAAACATACCGGATGAAGTCATCAAATGTCTAGTTCGTACGAGGACTTATATACGGTTAAACAATTTAAATAAAGAAATTGTAAATAAGCAATTTAAAAAATATGATAAACAAAAAATACAAAAATTTATTAAATAGGTAATTTCACGCGTTTTATTTTTGGTATGTTACCGTACATTTAATGATCACTAATAAACGAATACATCTAGGTTCGGAGGTCTATGTTTTCGAACCAACAGAAGTATTAAATAAATATTTTTGTAAATTACTGAGTAAGTACCTACCTAATATTACTACCTACTGACAAATGACAATTAGGACATTACATTAGGTACAAATATTTAAATATTATACAAAACAAAAATACAAATTTGAAAATACGAATATGCTAAGCCGATAAGGTGATAATTCAGAAATGTATCGTATGATACATACGACCAATGAGAGATGGAGAACGTAATACACGGTAAAAAGTGGGGGTACTTCCCGAGGATATGCGTATCACAAAGTTGCTGACATACCTATATATTTTGTCATGGCCATAATAATAATTAAATACATTTATTATACTGATCTTTATCTTTAGCTTGCCAGCTGACGCCGTACGGAGACGTTTGTGGGTTCAATTCGTCGAGAACCAGGGGTTTCAAGTCAACCGAACATCTAAGCTATGTTCGAGTCATTTCATTCCTCACGTTGACTTCGCACCGGGAAATCTCTTACGCCGCCGCCTGACCAACACAGCAGTTCCGTCAATAGTGAGTTTATGGTGAAATGTAATATTATTTAGTTTTAATTGTAAAGTACGAAAATAGTGTAGGTACTGCAATAGTGACAGTAGCGGCGTTATATTCTGTGAGTTGTTACTCTTAAGCTTTAGCGCTGTCAACTTTACATTTATAGGTCATAAGTTACTGTTTGTTTTACATAGGTTGTAACATAAATGCTACACTTTACAACATATATATTTCAATACTTATGGACAGAGTTCTAACCTACTTATAGTGTACAATTCTTATTAATAAACTTCACTCAATACAAATATTATTATCAATTGCACACTATTCATATCATAGGTGCACAAGGTTTTTGTTGATATTTGTTTTGTTTATTATAGAGTTAAAGATTTTATTCTATTTGATATTTGATACACTTAAGACCTGTACCCTAAACAATAGTTACATTTCTCAATACTCAATACTCTGTATTTTATAACTTATAATTTTTGTACAGAACGTTAGGTTAGGTTAGGTTAAATACTTTCTCATATGACTGATTATTTATGGATAAATTGTTATGTTGAAATACATTCAATAGAGTACAATATACTTCCTACAGTCTTATCTTATTGGAAATTTGTGTTTAGCCCACATAAAAATGTATGGTGTAACTTTCAAATAGATTAATGTTAATACCACAAGTCACTTATCTTAAAACCACTGGATGACTATTCATTTGAAAAGTTTATAAATTAATTTATAACGTTGATGATACATTAACTACAAACTGTATAAAGTGTATATTATTATTACCAGGCGAATACTTAATAAAACCTATATAAAACTATAACAACATTTTTCAGTGGAAATATATAGAAAAAATATAGACACAACACTAATATATTGACCCTATTCAACACTTGACTGTGCTCCTTATTAGTTCATTTTATACTTGCACATTAAACTAATTAAAACGATTGTATAGGTGGTCGGAGCGCAACAGGTACCAGCTCACGCAGAAATTGACAATGCCGATGCAAACGGTGGCGCAGAAATCGTCGAGGTGGAGTTCGTAGAGGTACAGATGGAAGATATCGACGAGGAAGTTGTCCAGGTGGACCAATTCCTGATGAACGACGACAACGTAGAATTTATTGAAGTTCGGATGGACGAAGTCCTAATGGACGACGACGAGGTAGTACCAGGCCGAGAAGAGATGGTGGACAACAATGACGGGATGCAACTTGAAATCGACATTTTACTCCAAGGCGTCGATGAAGAGGTCAGTGAATATTTCTTCATATTACCTATATCTATGTTTGTTACAATTTTGTAATTTCAATTGCAGTTCGAACCAATTCCCCTGGGTGTTCCGGTCGAACAGCCTAGAGGGCGTGCACCAATGATAGATCGTCCGGCTGGCGTCCAACATCCGCTCCCGGAAAAGCATTACATTGGGGCGTTGAATGCAGTCTGTAGAGATTGTGGTGCCCGTCACTTCGCCATCGAAAGTACCAGACAGGGTGGTTTCTATACATGTTGTAATAGCGGTCTCGTGACCGTAACAGGAGAGCGGGTGTTGCAACCCGCACCTGTGTTACTAATGAATTTGTTGACTTCAGATTCAAGGGAAGCCAGGAGCTTTAGAGCTGAGATTCGAAGGTACAACAACAGTTTGGCATTCGCTGCGTTCTCCAGTGACTTTAACCCCAGGCGTTTGCCAGGTCGTGGGCCTAGGGTATTCTATGCTCAAGGACAAGTGTATCACAGGACTAACAATGAAGTCGCCCCAAATGTAGACAGGCCACCGAGATACTGTGAATTGTATTTCGTGAGTTCTGAGCAAGCAAACCGGGCTCGCTTGCAACAGAATCCAGGCAGTTTATTGGAGCAAGTGCTTGCAGACCTAGACCAACTGTTTCGGGATAACAATCCATACGCCCAGGCATTTCAGTAAGTTATTAAAGTCATTGAATTATATGAAATGTACTCATGAACACCAAAACCCCGGCTTAGAGCTCATAATTTGTACACATTACATCTATACAATATTATATTATGTAAATTATTTTACATTTGACAAACTATTTAATTTTCACTTATTAACTGATTCAATTTCATTATTTAAATGCGATTAGGTATCACACTTTGTAGGTACACGACATATTATTAAACTGTTAACTAACAATTATTTCATTTTAAATTAAAATTGGTCTAATGTAAATTTTTACAGCATATATTTCACACTCCAAGAATTTTCACAATATTACAACAATTTGAATTGTACATTGATGCCACACAAAAGTGGTGACTTCCATCTATCATTCGGGTGTGGGTTGATCATATTTATAATATAAATATTCAATGACAATAATATTGTTCTGCTTATAATATATTCTTACATTACATAAATACACAAAATATGTACGGATAATAAATTAATGATTGTTACAACCTTTTTTATAGAACAAATTGATGAATTACTTAATGTTGTTAATTTTCATAACATTCAAACAGTATTCACAAGTTTAGAATTTTGTAATAACAATAAACACTACAATAGTATG